CATTGTGAATGGCGTACCTGTTCAGTAGCCATGCTGCGTGTCTCACAACCCATGGTAGGATTGGATCTTGTACGCTCAGTGTGAGATTGTAGCTGATGGTGACTTGTTGTAGTAAAGCTCGTACTTGTCCCATCAGTGTGCGGTGGTATCGTTCGATACTGCCTTGTGATTGTGATGAGTATGCTGGTGAGTTGGCTCCAAGGTTTTGTGCCACTGTCTTCAAGAGGTTCAGGATGAACTCCTCTTGGTCTGTTTGTAGTGTTGTTGGTGAAAGTGTTGCTTGTGCTCGTCCACATTCAAACATGAATGTTTGTAGACATCGTACCAGGTATTGTTGTTGTTGTTGTTGGTTCTTGTCTTGTACAAGAACTGCCATTGCCATACCTGATTCGACATCTATTGCTGTCAGTACTGGTAGTACTTGTTTGTCTCCAAAGGCTTTCATGTATGTGAAGTCCACTTGTATCACCGGTTGTTTGCTTGTTTGCTTTGGGTGATTGTCTGTTCTGCCTTTGCTCTTCACGCAAATTGGGCACCATGTTCTGTATGGCAGGTGTGTCAGTTCGTGCTCAAATCTTTCTTGCCTTGTTGGTTGTTGTGGGGCCTTCATTCCTCGTGGTCTTTGTGCTTGTTGTGTTTCTTCCTCATTGTCTGTGTCGTACTCATACTTGTACTCGACATCTTCCTCAAAGTTTGTTGATCCTGTCCATTGTCTGTCAAGTGGTCTTGCTCCTGATTCCTTCCAATTGTCGTCAATCCTCCATCCTCTTGCTTGCTCTGTTGGTGACACCATTGTTGTTCTTTCTGAAGTCAATCGTTCAATGTTCGGCCCATCATCTGATTGTTCTGGTACGTAAAGTGTTGTACGTGGTTGTATGTGGACACGCTTCCACAAGTGTCCTTCTCTGATCCAGTAATCAGAGTTTGGTGTCAGTGTTTGTGGTCCTGGTATTGCCGTCGTTGTTGGTTGTGGCTTCTTGGTTGTATGTCGAAAGAGTGGTTCTCGGTTGATTGTCTGCTTGCGTGTTTCTGCGTGTGCTGGCAGTTGTGGCACCGGTGGCTGGTGCTCTGTTTGTGTTGTCTGCTGTGGCTGTGGTTGAGGCACAGGTGTCCTCGGTTGTGCTGCAGATGGTTGCGTGGCTGCTGGTTGTCCAGTCACTTTGAACCAAGTTTCTCCTGTCCAGGCATCACCTTGTAGGATTCGCTTTTGTGCATTCTTACCCAAGTCGTTGTACTGTTCCACGAAATCCTCATTGTGCCCATTTGGCCGTCTGACAATTGTCCTTCGATAGTTGCTCAATCTTCCAAGAGATACTGGACAATTGTTACCAGGAACGAATAGTGCCTTTCTTTTGTTCCTGTGGTACCTCACCAGGTATCCTTCACTGTTGTAGTTCCAGTAGTCGTTGTTTCCTCCAAGGACTTGTTGTGGTCCTGCTTGTGTCAGCGTGGTTGGGGCAATCATTGCTATCATGCCCTCTGGTGTCTGTCGAAGTTGTAGTTGCTGGTGTTGTTCCAAGTTCACAATTGTTGCTGGTAGGTAGTAAAGGTTGTGTTGTTGGACCAAGGAGACGTCGAATCCCTTGTTGTGGCTCATTGTGGGTGTGTCGTTGAACCTGATGTCAAAGCCTTGTTCTGCCAGTCTTGTCACTGACAGGATTGGGTCATGTATGTCACACACATAGAATGGTATGACAATGGGTTGTCCCCTTGATTGCATGTAGACCCATCTCACGCCATAGCATTGCATGGTCTTGTTGGTGACCGTCCTCAGGTTTGGAAGTTGTGCTTCGTCGAACCTGTGTATTGGGTAATTGTCTGCAAACCATAGTGGGCGTACGTGTGTAGCTGCTCCACTATCGATCATGATGTTTGTTGTGTCAGTTGTTGTCATTTGGTTGTTGCTGTTGCTGTTGCCATTGCTAATCATTGCAATGACATGGATTGGCATACTGCTGTTGTTGCCTGCCGTTGGTGGGATTGGTGGTAATGCCAATTGTTGCTGAGGCTGCTGCTGTGTATAGTATTGCTGCTGCGGCTGCTGCTGTGTATAATCTATGTGGTACCATTGTCATAGTAGTCGGTGTACCATTGTGCTGTTGTGTCTTGCTTGTCATTGTGTTCTCCTTGTCCAATGTTGTGGATTGCTACTCTGCAGTCTTTGGCATAGTGTCCTGCTCGCCCACACCTGTAGCAGGTATCGGTCACTTGTTTTCCTTTGTTCTTTCCTTTTCCTTTTCCTTTGTTGTATCCTTTGTATCCTTTGTTGCCTTTTCCTCCAAAAGGATTGCCGTATCCAATTGGATTGTTGTAGGGGTTGTATCCTTTCCCTCCATTCTTTTCTTTTCCTTTGTTGTAATTGTTGTAGCCGTAGCCGTTGTATCCACCGTAGCCTTTGCCTTTATGTTTTCCTTTGCCTTTACCTTTTCCTTTGTGTTTTCCTTTTCCTTTGTGCACTGCGTCAATGTCCATGGGTGCTTGTCCTCCAGCATAGTTGGTTGACACGCTGGATGATTGTGTGGCGAGTTGTTGTAGCTTGCTGAATGCTGTTGTCGATCTGTAGTATTCAATGATTGTTGCTTTGACTCTGGCGTAGTTTGGGTTTTGTCCTGAGAGTAGTTGTAGGTGTTGTTGTAGTGGTCCTGTTGTCTCATTGAGTAGCACTGCTATTTTTACTGCATCTGGCAATTGTTGTCCATTGTCACGCTCAAAGCGTTGGAGCTCAAATTCCCATGTTGAGAATGACTCCTCGAAATTGTTGTTGTCGAATTTTGGTTTGAGTAGTCGTGTAAGGTGTCCAATTGATCTTGTGCCGAGTGGTATTGAGAATCGTATGCAAAGTTGTCTGTACATTTCAAAGCCAATTGTGTGCTGGTATTGTCGGCAGACTGTTGCTGCTGCCCCAGTTGTTGTGTTGATGAGGATGTACCTCAAGTCGGTGCTGAGGCGATCATGTCGTTCACCATCCTCAATTGTTGTTGCTGCTCCTCGTAGTTGTGCTTCGGTCAGCTCCGCATTGGCAGCCTCTGCTGCTTGTAGTAGTGCTGTGTAGTCATTGTCTTGTAGGCCCATGTATGCTGTGAACTTGTACTTCCATTCTTCAAACGTGCTGTAGTCTCCATTGTAGAAGGGGGGCTTGAGTTTGTATCTGTTCATGTTGGCCAGATTTTCTTCTGGCACTGGAGGTAATGCTCCTCCTGCCGGTGCTGCTACTGCCATTTTTGCCGTAGTTGTCACAAGCTACCTCTTGTGGGGTCAAGGCTTGTCTCCTTCTGTTGCTGTTGTGTGTGTGTTTGTTGAGTGTTGTGGTATTGGAGCTCACCTGGATTGTCGTTGCCAGGATCCTTGCTCCGCTACCATGTAAAGTTTCACCGGCACTCTGATTGTGATGGATTGTGTCCACGTTGTTTCACGTTTGTCCTCTTGTCCAATTGTCCTTGTCTTGTGCACGATCCGCTGTATTGTTTTCCTCTGGCAATTGTCTTAGGCTCAAGGCCTTGATCCAGAGCACAAATTGTGCTGTGCATTGTTGCCATGTACACTATGGATATTGTTGATATCAAAACTATTGTATTCTTAACACCGTCCCTCGAATTGGCGGCATTGTGCACGCCACTTCGTTTAGGATTGTCCATTCACATTGTCCATTAGCATCGTTGAAAACTGAAATCAGCATTATTTTTCTCTCATTGTTCAGTGCAAAAATTGTTCAAGTCTGTACAGTGGATTGTTGATGATCTGTACACTTCTTTGCCTCATTGTCGACTCGTTGTGCGTCTTTTGATTGTCTCGTGGTCGGCAAAGATGTGGTGTCATCATAGTCAATCCTCTTGGATCTTGTAGATCATCTTCTAGCCGTCCTTCTGTTCGACTTCCATGTCGTCAGCACGGCGCTTCCTGTTCTCTTTGTTCCCAACTTGCTGGATCTCATGATATCAAAACTATTGTATTCTTAACAGGATAGATAGATGGATGGATGGATGGATGGAATGATGGATGGATGGATGGATGGATGGATGGATGGATGGATGGATAGATAGACAGATAAATAGATAGATAGATAGATAGATCGATAGATCGATAGATCGATAGATCGATAGATCGATAGATCGATAGATCGATAGATCGATAGATAGATAGATAGATACATACATACGTACATAGATAGATAGATAGATAGATAGATATACAGATAGATATACAGATAGATATACAGATAGATATACAGATAGATATACAGATAGATATACAGATAGATAGATAGATAGATAGATAGATACAGATAGATATACAGATAGATATACAGATAGATATACAGATAGATATACAGATAGATATACAGATAGATATACAGATAGATATACAGATAGATATACAGATAGATATACAGATAGATAGATAGATAGATAGATAGACAGATAGATAGATAGATACAGATAGATATACAGATAGATATACAGATAGATATACAGATAGATATACAGATAGATATACAGATAGATATACAGATAGATATACAGATAGATATACAGATAGATATACAGATAGATATACAGATAGATATACAGATAGATATACAGATAGATATACAGATAGATATACAGATAGATATACAGATAGATAGATAGATAGATAGATAGACAGATAGATAGACAGATAGATAGACAGATAGATATACAGATAGATATACAGATAGATATACAGATAGATATACAGATAGATATACAGATAGATATACAGATAGATAGATAGATAGATAAATAGATAGATAGATAGATAGATCGATAGATAGATACCTAGATACCTAGATACCTAGATACCTAGATACCTAGATACCTAGATACCTAGATACCTAGATACCTAGATACCTAGATACCCAGATAGCCAGATAGCCAGATAGCCAGATAGCTAAATAGATGTTATACATGCCTCATTCCTTTCTAGATCCATATGGATGCAACTAACCAGCGTTACACCAAGCAAATGAAACAAATTGGAGCCTCAAACAGCTCTGCCGCCAACGTTTCGTCGACGCACTCTTCATCCACGCACTCCTCATCCCCGCTCTTGAAGGCGAAGACCGCCTTGGTGGATTGATGGATTCGAGGTTTTTGAATCAACCATAATTGGAAAAATACCAGGGAAAAAATGTGAAGTATCATAAATGCTGGATCCACCAACAAATGGGAATAGAATGGGAAAACCCATCATTTGGGTTTGTCCAACAAGAATAGTGGTATGATAACACCATCCATGAGTTGTTGAAGACTAGGGCATATTCACGCGAATCATCTCAGAATAATCAAAACACTGAACAGTCACAGTTCTGTCTGTGGGCCCTCTACCCAGTGCCTATTGGTGCATTTTCTTACCACCAACTCCCAAATTCCCTTGCGTTTGCCGCCCAGCCTCATTGATGAAATGAAGTTGCCACCCTTCAGGGAGTGGAGTCTTCTCCTTGGAAACCACTTTGGGAATTGAAATGGAAACTGGTAAACAGACGAAATGGATGAAAACACGCGGGTATGTAATAAACTCCACATACATTCAAGTGACCAAATGTGTGCATCTGAAAAATTCGAGCACAACATGAGTGTGGAGATGTGTAAACAACGGCAGTTCAGTCCTTATTTTTGAAGCAATCGAGCACGTATTTGAGCCATCCTGTTTTGCTCCACTCTTCGCTCTTGTCCGACGACTCGTCGCCCTCATCCCCCTGACTGTGGTCGTCCAACATGATCCTTCCAACGCTTGCAGTGTTTCGCTGCTCCAATTGCTCGGATTTTTTTCAGTGTCTAATTTTGCATTCAAATACGTGTCAGGATGTGTCAGGCATTTTCCAAGCACTGTATCCACATTTTACACACTCTCGAATTGCCATGAATTGCCTATGGTCCCCTTTACGCCCCTCCAAGTTTCCATTGACAGTCAACTACGAGACCTGGAAAACCAAGCGGTCAGACTGTGCCCGGCTATGCGGTTTGAGCTGCTAATCCAAAGGCGCGTCTGAAAGTTTGTACCTTTTGCCCTTTTGTTTTGCAAAACATGGCAATGAAAAAATCCTCAGATTGGAGGTTTTACTGGGTGTAAACAAGCAACATCAAGAAAGATTAACATTCATCTGGTTATTACGCTGGTTGGTCGCTACAGCGTGTACAGTGTGCAGCACAAGGACCACGCTGAAAACAAATCTGAGACTGCAGCGCAAGTAGAAACCCTTCGAAAAAACAATAAAACAACCAAACCAAAACAACTCTGTAAATCGAACATGTTTGAATTGCGACCAAATTGAATGCACTAATAGTCGCAAACCCCGTTCCTGGCATTACTTTCACCTCTACTGATGAGTTTTTGGCACTGTCATGTCTAAATGGGTGCCAAATTGCTTGGGTTTTTGTTATTCCGTTTCGAGTTGTTTTTTGTTTTTCTCTTGGGGTTAGGCTTTTGTCCAAAAACATCGTACAGTGTTTTCGACCACTTGCCCGGTAGACTTACCCTTTTGCTGTTGTTGTTGTTGTTGTTGCTGCTGTTGCTGTTGCTGTTGTTGTTGCTGTTGTTGTTGTTGTTGTTGCTGCTGTTGCTGTTGTTGTTGCTGTTGCTGTTGCTGTTGCTGTTGTTGTTGCTGTTGTTGTTGTTGCTGCTGTTGCTGTTGTTGTTGTTGTTGCTGCTGCTGTTGCTGTTGCTGCTGTTGTTGTTGCTGCTGTTGCTGTTGTTGTTGCGGTTGCTGTTGCTGTTGCTGTTGTTGCTGTTGTTGTTGTTGCTGTTGTTGTTGCTGTTGTTGTTGCTGTTGCTGTTGTTGTTGTTGTTGCTGCTGTTGCTGTTGTTGTTGCTGTTGTTGTTGCTGTTGTTGTTCCTGTTGTTGTTGCTGTTGTTGTTGTTGCTGCTGTTGCTGTTGCTGTTGCTGTTGTTGTTGTTGTTGTTGCTGCTGTTGCTGTTGTTGTTGCTGTTGTTGTTGTTGTTGCTGTTGTTGTTGCTGTTGTTGTTGCTGTTGCTGTTGCTGTTGTTGCTGTTTTTGTTTTTATTTTTATTTTTATTTTTGTTTTTGTTTGTGTCCTTGTTCTCGACTGCTCATTTTGTTGATATTGTTGATTTTCTGTTTTGGTTTTTCCTTTTTTTTACCTTGGGGCTGGGATTTTGTGAGACACATTGTGCAAGCGCTACGTTTTCGAGAATTTACCGTGTTGTTTGTGGTGTTGTTGTTGTTGTTTTTGTTGTTCTTGTTGTTTTTTGTTGTTTGTCCATTTTTTATTGTTTTTGTTCTTTTGTTTTTTCTTGCTTATTTGAACATTTTGTGTTTCATCGATTGATGTCATTTTTGTTTTTTTGTTGTCATTGTTTTTTGTGTTTAAAGTTTTGCAGTGATGACCCTCGCATTGCAACACACTGTTTCGTCCATTGGGTTGGCATGCTGACCAGTTGACAGGCTAAGGGTCTGGCCCGTCCCCAACCCCCTGATATTTAACAGGGTGGCCGAGGGTGGGGCGTGAAAAGTCAAAAACGAAAGGAAGTTGATACATGACGTGTATTGACAGAAATGTTTGGGACCATTACCATTGTCCAGAGTTTCACAAGTTTGACAGTCAAACCTTCAAGCCAAAGTTGATTCATGTAATGACATTCATCACATCACTGCCAGACTTAGGTCGCTTACCGTTGGTTTGTTTTCTTAAGTTTTGCACTGATGACCCTCGCATTGCAACACACAATTTTGTCCATTGGGGTTGGCATGCTGGTCAGTCGCCTCCCCCTTTTAAGTGTGGCCAGCTTGCACAATGGACTTTCAGATTTCAGATTGTCATATAATCCATACGGTTACAACCACGACCGCACTGCATAAGCTGCTTTATCTCAAATCCCAAAAGGTCATCTGCAATGTTTGGTTGATTTGGAGTTCCTGTAGTCCATGAGTTACATTCACTCCACTTTTCAAACTTGCATTAAGTATGATGCTCTCACATTGGCACACATTGATCAACTTCATCAGCAAGAACATCACAGTTGATTCAGAAACTTTCACATTCTCTGCGCTGCAGAAGTGCTGGTTCACTTCACCATCGCCAAGCACAGCTCGGCAATTTTCATTGTGCCTGGTTGCACTATCTCATTCACAACCTTGGGGCCATCCTCCGCAAACTCCCGCTCAAGAAATCTGAGCACTGCTTCGACGGCATAATCCGCCGATGAAGACCCTTGCATGGCCGCAATGGATACGGGGTCGTTGAAATATTTTGATGTGATCACAAGGCGCGGTGATGTCAGGCTGGCCCACAAAACATGAGAAACGCGACGAAGACTGTGCCCTGACTTGCCACTGCCGACAAGTAGCGCCTTCAGCCCAAAAACCGTCCGGATGTCTAGCAATGATGTAGGAGGAACGGATGGATTGGGGATGGACTACACTTTGTCGACATACCCTTTTAGGTCACAACGTCGTGCTGGCCAGTGTAGATCTGGTGGTTCTTCTTGCATCGTGGCGCTCATCATGCCACCTGCAACACCTAACATATATAAGGGTCTCAGACTCTCAGTAGGTTGAGAAGCTGCGCTATTTCCAGACCGCCACCAACGCAACTGATCTTGTCATTCTGCTCAGCTCCTTTTTTTTTCCTTCCTGAGGATATGGCCGGTACGCTCTGTGGCACGGCCCTTCGTACACAAGAACAAAAATGACGAGCACAAACAAATTCAAACTGAAGTTAATTAAAGCTAAAAAGACGATGCAATCAGTAAGTTGATCAAAAGGGATTGAGTCAGCTGGCCGTAAGGTTGCTCATTGTCATTCTGCTCAACTCTAAACCGTAGGCTCCGCCTGAGGTGGTATGGGATGTTTGGAAAAGTCAAATGGGCCTTCGGTTTCTCTTTTCGGGACCCTCTCAAGGGATGAAACTCATCTGCATACGCAAATTCGTCATCGATGACAATTACCTTAAGCCCAAACTTCCACATCATTGAGGCCTTCTCACTGCAGCTTGATGATAGCGGAGGCAACAATGATTGAACAATTGCCAGATGTCGAATACTGAATACTTGTCAAAATTCAGAGCAAGGAAACATCCAAGAATTGGATGCACCAGCTTGGGCTACTTTGAAGCTATTGATCACCTCAAATCGAGAGATCTACAGCGTCCTCCAGGTTGGACTTGAATGCATCGGGATCCAGCTCGACGTCTGCCAAACTGTCCCACAAAAAGCGTCTATTAGACATTTACCACAAAAATCAGAATTTACACTCAACGTCCGTAAACTGTTTCCGTAAAAAGCAGCGCTTGAACATTTACCAGAGAAACCAGAATTTACATTGTTGCCATCAATTTTTGTTGGCAACAAGGGAAACAGGATTCATATTGTTCCTCTCAAAGTTTTGGCTTTCCGTGTCTTCTCCAGCTAGTCATCCCAAAGCAGAGTTCGCATTGTTGCCATCAAAGCTTGCCAACACAAAAGTTAGAATTCACATTGTTGCCATCGAAGTTGCGACCTTCCGTTTTTAAGATTTTTTTCGTCGGGATGCGGCCGCTATGCTGTGTGGACAGATCTGCATATCGTCGCTTCGTAGAAATCAACAGCAGAAAAAGGGGCCGGGGCCCAAACGCAAACCCAACACCGAAGGCCAACTGACATAAACAAATCGCAAATAGTAGATTATGTGCAAGCCATCCAGCAGTGAGCCAGAAGGAAACCATATCCACAAGTGAAGATAGGCAGCAACAAGTTGATCAGTGGGGTATAGCCACATGGGGCGGTCCACGACCAACAGCCACAATAAAAAGGTGAGACACGACTAGCCACCTTCTCACAGTCCTGGCAGAAGCGCTTGAACCGATCATCAGCCACTCACCATCTCCAAAAAAAGGACTGCACAGTTACTAGAAGGTTGCACAAAGGCATCCCGTAGAGAGCTCGAGCAGCCACAGGTGGCGCCCCCCCAGGGGCCTACCTCAAAGAAGCACGGTACCTCGCGCACACGCCACCACCGCAAGGGGCGACAAAAGAGCTGCGTGCACGCGCAGCCCAGTGGGTGATGCGTGCGCAGATCCAGCTCCGGGCAGCAAACAAAACGGGATTCCCCGAGCACATGTAGGACACCTTCGTGTCCTGACAGCTGCAGACTGAAGGTGACAGCACCGGAAAGGTAAGAAGCTCAAATCTTGCAACCAAGGATGACACATCATGCATCACAGCCGCAGCATTGAGGAGTCACCTGCCTGAATAGTGACCGAATCAAAGACTCGCAAATAGGCGGCTAGCTCAAAAACCCATTGCCCACCAGTTCATCATAGCTAGGGGCAGGGGCGAGACTACTTTGTATCAAGTATGCCGTACGTGGAAATGAGAACATAGAACCAAGACTTTTTTTTTCCGGAGTGCGGCCGATATAGCTCAAAGGCTCGGTCCTGAACTGAAAGCTGGAGAAACTAATCAAAGCGGCAAATAATTGGACCCGGGCAACCAAGTCACACCTGTACAACTCAAAGCCTACGGTGGCAACAAGAACAAGAAAAACCTCAACCGGCGAGAAGACGAAATGCAAATCCCCCAGCCACATTTGCGTATCGTCCCACGCAAACAAGACCAAACTAGACGACGGATGGCCCGAGAGCGTAGAGGAGCAGAGTCTTCTGTTGTTAGTATGGAGACACTGTATTACAAGACAATATGTTAAAGATGTATTATAGGCAGACGAGAAGAGTAGTATCAAGACAATATATGGCTAGTAGCAGCTAGTACAAGACAATAGTTTGCATCGTATCTTTCGTAAAGTTTTTCACGCACAGAACTTTTTACAGACAGACGCTTTTGCACACAGAGACTTTTACACACAGAGGCTTTTACACAGAGCTTTTACACACAGACGCTTTCACACACAGAGGCTTTTACACCACAGACGCTTTTACACACAGAGGCTTTTACACACAGACGCTTTTACACACAGAGGCTTTTACACACAGACGCTTTTACACACAGATGCTTTTACACACAAACAGTTTTACACA